TGAGAAGTGACGCAGTCCAAAAAAACAGCTGTTTATCCAGACAAAGAAAAATCCGGCTTAGGACTACACATTTTCCCAGTACTAGAGCTGCTGCTTTTAAGCCCATAGGCCCGCAGAGCGCGCGTGAAAAGCGTGCAAGGCTTTTAGCAGATATTGCTGGTGAAATTGTGTGTTTTGGCGGACTTCCAAAGCTGGGCGTTTACATTATCAATGTTATTTTCGAAATATGAAGATGTATTTTGCAACGCACAGAGTTAGTTTGTCCAGCATGAGCATATGCTTATCGGTTGATATATTGTAGAACCCTATCCATATTCCAGCAACACTCTAGCAGCGATGATGCTTACGACTGCTTAAACTAACGTATTCTCAATGATAATTTATGTATCCCACGCAAACCTAAGGGCATGGTGAGTGACGCAGAATGGTCCGAGATAACAGAGCAAAAACCGAAGACCAGGTCATGCGAAATGATGTGTCTCAACTCTCAGTCATCGCCAAAAGATATCAATTATTGTCGGACAACATCACGCCGCAATCATCACCAAAACACATCAGCTATTGTCGAGCCACATGTCTTTTTCTGTAGTGTCGGACAATAACTGTGTGCTATTCGGTTACTCATTAAGCCACTTTCTTCATTTTTGTGTGCTATTTTTCAGTTTCTTAATGCAATACATAAAAATACCGTTATTTCACTGATGTATTTTGTATTCTCAAATGGTAGTACCAAACCCATTAAAAAATAAATGTTATATTTGCACTATCTTGACATCATGAATGTGCAATGATGGCCACTGAATAATCCTGACAGCTGATTCAAATATTTTTATATCTGTGCTGCGCAAGAATTGATAACATTAGTGCGTGCCTCATGTATTGTGTGATTGGTTGAAATATTGGCGGTGTGGCACAACCCAATGCTCGTCCCTTTGAAAAGGGCACTTTGAGCTCTGAATCCTATGGAAATAACAAGTGTCGAATTGCTTTTCGCGAGGTGTGTGAGATGTATAACAGCAGGCTGAAATTGTGAGTCAGCCTTTTGCCTGAAATAATGTTAATCTGATAAAAGACTCGGAAGCTGCGCTTGCCACAGCTTACACTGTTGTCATTTTACCATATATATATATAAATCAGTTGTGTAAATTTTGTAATGACAAAGCTGAAAATGCCAGATTATTCCTTGTGTTTGCTCATGCAAGAAAACCTTTACTTTTGTTAAACAATGTCTGTAGAAGCAACTCATCAATGTGCAATTTTTGATGCTTTTTGAAATTGCGTGGCATGTTTCGGCTCTGATCACAGCAAGACGTACTAGCATACCGATGCTAACTACAAAACCATATGTTTATAGGAGCTGTTCGAGCGCTTTTGTGCGACTATTTTAGCTACCAGAAAGCGTCAAAATTGTCATGTGATCGCAATGGTGGCATGCTGAGGGGAGTGTTCCACATTTGTATTGGATGTTGAACTGAATAGCCATCATGAAGATAGCCATCTGTGCAGTTCACAGCCCTACCCTTCTTAAGATCTAGATCCTCTAGTTTCTAGTCTATACGCGGACAGAGATGTGCAAACTATTTTAAAGATACTTTTCAATGTCACCCAGGCAGCCATGGCGCTATGACGCCATTCAAATCCTGCCATTCCATAAGCTGTGCGGCGATCACGGCCAGGATAAATATAATTGTTCAGTTTTCCATATCCGGCGTTCGGGAGAACAATTTCCAGATAAAACAATCGTCAACTGGCCATCAATCAATGTTGCGCAAGATACGATGACATAATCAAACAATGACGTACTGAGGAGCAGATTTACTCAACAGAGAAATCGTGTTGTCTAGAGCAGTCTCTTCCATTTAGAAGCATACGAATCGCTGTGAACCTATTGCATCATACCTGGTGCTTGCTCTAATATCTTCAGATGTTAAACATTTCCTTTAATTGAAAACACAGTCCTTGTACAGCATCAAAAGTGAAACGCAAGCATCTAGAAAAGTGAAGCGTGGCAACATGTCGCGCCCACCATATAGCATTCCGTGTCAAAGCCTTGATTAAGAAGCGAAGGGTGGGGCCGGAGCCGAAGCCAGGGACAGCTTTTGAAGAGAAACTGCAACTCTATACGAGATCCTTCGATAATATAACACTGGATGGTGAAACATCGTGGACACATAATTCAGGAATATAATACTGGGTTCCACTTCTTGGATCCGGGCGCATGTCCGGTATGAATGAACATTGAGCAGTGTGTATGCAAGAAAGCCTTTATGCCTGCCTTTGAAAGTAGTTTTCAACTGCCACTTACTGTTTCCGGATAAAAATGAGCCGAATGAACATAACTTAAGGCAAACTCCGATGTCTCTCATTCTGCCTCTCGCTATTGTGTGACGTTTGATCTCCTTTCTGACATTCTTCGACCAGCGTCGGCCCCGGGCCATCCCCAAGTGGTTCTGACATTCTTCGACCAGCGTCAGCCCCGCACCCTCCTCAAGTGCCTCTGACATCCCTCGACCAGCGTTGGCCTCGCACCATCCCCAAATGGTTCTGACATTCCTCCACCGGTGTTGGCCCCGCCCCATCCTCAAGTGCCTCTGACATCCATTGACCAGCGTCGGCCCCCCACCATCCCAGGTGTCCCTGACACCCTTCGACCAGCGTCGGCCCCGCACCATCTGCAAGTGCCTCTGACATCCCTTGACCAGCGTCGGCCCCTCACCATCACCAAGTGGTTCTGACATTCTTCGACCAGCGTCGGCCCCGCACCATCCGCAAGTACCTCTGACATCCCTTGACCAGCGTCGGCCCCGCACCATCCCCAAGTGGTTCTGACATTCTTCGACCGGTGCCGGCCCCGCACCATCCGCAAGTACCTCTGACTTCCCTCGACCAGCGTCGGCCCCGCACCATCCCCAAGTGGTTCTGACATTCTTCGAACAGTGCCGGCCCCGCACCATCCCCAAATGGCCGGTCGATCGTCACGCATTGAAGTGGCCAGGGACCATCTGTCTGGTTGCTGGGCATCAGAGCTCATATCAGGACGTCTGTGACCTGACCATGGGCCGGCCGGAGCCGGGTCGCGCGCCCTTTGACCAGGCAGGACCGGTAGAGTGTAGGTCCTCTTCCCTCTGACTCGGTCGTGCCATTATTGGGGACAAGCAATTCTCCTGTTGCACGCGCAACCAAACCGAACAAAACCGAGCCGTCGAGCTAAAGGAACTGAAGTGGTCTGAACTCGAGTGATGCCGAAGCGAAACGAGGTGCCGCGTATCCAAGCGATTCGAGTCTGAACAGAACTAAGCAAGTGGTCGGGGCACGCGTGGTATTGTAACAGTCCAATCCGAATGCAGCCATACCGCGCCAATGGAAACGAAACGAAACGAAGCGAAATAAGACGAAACGGAGCCGAACCGAACGAAACGGAACCGAATCAAACGTAATCAAACGTAGCTGGACGCAGTAGTACGGACGGAAACAGCGCTGACGTCTGACGTGTGACACGCAAGTGACCGGAAGTGAATCGATTGTTATGATACACGATGCGATAACTGAAGCGCACATGAGGACGGCTAATGACAGCGAAACGATTATGAGGGGCTCCTTATTCGCACCGACTTCGTGACGCTTGAACTGCGGAAATAAAACACCGCCGACAGCTGCGTATTGTGCTGCGGGCTGGCTCATGTTTCGAGCCTCGACAAGTCAGCTGACCGGACCTCGTAGAGGGCAGCCGGAAGATCCGAGGAATGTTCCTCAATGTTCCCAAGCCATAAGCTGGAAAGCCACAAACAACAGGCTTTTGTCTCGTTTTCGGCTAAATATAATCATCCGGTCCCCTTTTCGAACGTGGGTTGCCGACCTGCAGGCTCGCCAGTGACAAATATTCGATTGCCGGGGTGGGGCGGGAGAAGGGAAGTCGCTGACATCATTCCTGACTGCCATGAGTCACTTGGAGGTGTACATCCCGTCTTACAACTGCGGATCATGGTCTACATGAGTCATCTTCTTCGATGTTTTAATGCCTTGCATGAGCACTGAACTGAAGATTGAATCAAGCAGCTCGCGATTGAAGACCTTCACTTACGCCCACTCGCATGAATAAATCATCCGTGAAAAGATCACCTGGTTTCACTCACAAACATGCATTCGCCAACACCTACGTTAACGCCTTTCAAAGTCTAGAACCCACGCATTTGCGTGTCATGTGGACAGTTTGCCATAGTTTTCTCCATCGCTAATGGTTAAGAGGAAGACATCTGATTTGCAGCGACCAGCATTACCACATTGAACCTTGAGCGAATCCCCGATGATGAGCTGGCCATGTCTGACGAAAGCCCCTAGCCACGCCGTGGCGACCACAAACGATTTTGTCACCGATGCTGACAGGACAGAGTGCTTCGTGTAACTTCTAGTGCGGCCCAATCCCGAGAAGGCAGAGGCCGCGTGCCGCTTGCGGTGTAAGCTTTTTCATGGAAGCGAGGAGGCAAAGCGGCGCGAGCGGCGCAGTCGGCATCAGGTCGGGCTGAGGGCTGAGGGATCTGGGTTCAAATCCGCCCGGACCACAAATATTTCATCTGCCTCACCATAAGCACAGGCCAGCGACGCTTTCAATCAAATAGTTGTAGCAAAAGGCAGTGCAGCGGTCGTAACATCAGGAAGGGGGCAGTGATGTCCGTGCATCGCACGATGAGCTTTGGCGTGCGCGGGCAGGCACCATCGTCGGCTGACGTGTTGTTTGGAGCTGGAGGCATCCAACAGGTGATTGATTTGTGTTGTAGTCACCGATGGAGAACAAAAAGAAAGTGTTGTGTGGCAGAGCTACCAGAGGAAACATCGTTTAATCGTAAACGCTAAGATCATGTTGATTTGCACGACGTTGAAGGAGGAGCTGCAACAGCCGCTTTGTCGCATTCTCCGCCAACGGCTATCCTTGCAGTATTCTTTACGTAAAGGTCGGCATTTACTGACATCGAATGGCATTTTCGGTCCGGTCGAAAACATAGTTTGCACGAAACAGTATTTCACAGAGATCTGTATTTCCCTAAGCCGAAGAAGAACGCAAGATAAGAAAAAGACCACAGCATACTCGTATGGATATGACACGCAAATTCGCAAGTTTTAACTGAAAGCATTGGAAGATATACTATCGCAAGCTACCCAAGTCCCTGGAAATGGAGACAAAAAGCTGCTTCAGCGCACGGTAAAGCACCACCAAAGCCCGTGATATGTCCTTCGGAGGAGTAACGAAGAATGATAACGGAGATCAGACTGCGGTACAAAGCGCTGCGTCTCCCTGATCCTCGCTCGTCTCATCGACCCTGCTTGGAGCTTCCCCCTCTCCCTCCCCCCCCCCCCCCCCGACCTTCTGGTCTTTCCTGTGTCCAGCCTGTAGTCACAGTACACCGTTCTTCACCCAACCAGTCCGACGCATAAATAATTTCACACCACTCGGTCCGCTCAGATCTGTACCGCGTGTTGACCTCCCTCCGATAGCCGCATGATTCCACCCATGCCCAAACTCCATGCCCAGCCGCATGATTCCACCCATGCAGAGGCCGTCCACCCGGCAGCGTGCACTGCTCCTGGTTGTACCCTTCCCAACACCGCACGCAGCACCAGGCTACGCCGCCCCCTTCCCAGAGCCCAGCCTCCTTCCCCGCCATCACCGTCGACCTCCCCCTGTCTCCCCGACCCCGCTACCCTGCTGGCCGCTCATTTGGCCTTCTTCCGCGCGGCCTCTTCGGGCGGCCCGTCTCTGAATCGGACCACAGCCAGCACCACCAGGACGTTGAGTGCCAGGTTGACGCAGAAGCAGGTCAGCATGGTGACGTCGCCCGTCTCGGCCAGCGTGGTGACGATGCGTGTGCCGCACGTCAGCGCCGCCAACAGCCAGGTGGTCAGGCTGAGCGCGCGGGCGTCGCGCGACACCAGAAGCGCGCGCAGCTGCACCAGCTTGCTGCTCCAGCCGATCGGCAGACTGAAGCAGGTGAGGAGGGCGGCCACGGAGAGCGGCAGCAAGACCGGCGGCCAGCGCGGCGGCGGCGGCCGCGGCCAGCAGCCAGCGTCGCCACCCAGCCGGCCGTCAGCTGTCCGCTGAGCCGCAGCGTCAGCAGCACCAGCAGCACATCCTGCGGGATCAGCAGCGCGTACTCGAAGTAGCTCAACAGCGGGTAGCCATGCGCGGCGTTGTAGCAGAAGTTGATGGTGAAGCCGGTTAGCTCGAGCAGCAGGCTTTGCAGGCTGAGGCCGCGAGCCGAGCCGGAGCGCAGCGTGGCCGCGATCTGCGGCAGCTTCAGCACCAGCGACCCCACGATCGAGATCCAGTCGCAGGCCACCACCAGCGGCGCCATGCTGACGTCAGAGATGCGCGTCGCTGTGCTGACGTCACCGTCGCCGGAAGCGCGCAGCGGGCCGGGCGTGTGGCGTTCCTCTGATGACGTCACGGATGCGCTATCGCCGCCGGCGCTGACGTCACGGCGGCTGGAACACCACGCGGGCGGAGCGGCGCTGACGTCACGGCGACTCCGCAGCAGCTGGCGCTCACCCGGCCGAGTCGCCGCAGTGAATGCCGCGCGAGCGCTGTCCGGCGATGCCACACGACTCGTCTGATCCACTCGCCGCCACGCAGACCGTAATCGCCCCTTCGTGCGTCGCGGCGGCACCCGGCGAGTCGCGCAGTGCGCCTGTCTATCGCGCGAGCGATGTGGCGCGAGGCGCGCGGCGCGCCGCCGCAGCCACGCGCCACGACCGTCCCAGTCGCGCCCCGCACGGACTCGCCGCCGCAGCCTTGGACCCCGGCTGAAAAAACAGCTGGTGCGGCGCCTCGCGGCCGCATCTGATAGTCTTCGGCCGGCCGCAGCCCCCGAGCGGCAGGGGCGAGCCTAGGCGAGCTGGGCGGGGGAGAGAGACATTCGATATCCTCCGGCCGCAACTCCCGAGCGGCAGAGGCGAGCCCAGGCAATCCGGGCGGGGGGAGGGAGACATTTGATGATGCATGTCCGACGGCGGCGACCGGGTGACAGGGGTGAGCCCAGGCAGGCCGGGGGAGGGGCATCCGATAGATTACGCCGGATGGTGACGACAGCGACATATCGAGGAGGGCCCGGGCGGGAGCAACGGGGGTGCTGGAACCGGCCCCAGCCCGCGAGGAGCGGCCGGAAGCATTGGATTCGTGGAACACGCACTGACGAGTAGTGCGGAGTGGGGCACCTCCCCTGGCTTGGGAGCAGAAACCTGCCACTGCACGCTCCACTACACATGCTTCTTAACAAGTCACAGGACCCGTCAGAAATCAATGTAGTTGACGCGCTTTAAAACCACACTAGTGGCAAGATGAATGCTTTCTGTTCATTCCTGCCCTGAGTTTAACAAAACTGCTCTCCTTTTACTTGCATGTGCATCTCAGTATGGCAAGGCCTCTCAGACGTACCTGATCACCCATCTTAAGTCGCTTTGGTTGTGCATAGCCGCGGGCATGTACCGTAAAGGTTGGACGTAGTGCCTACCCTGCGATGGGCAGGAGCACCGGTTTGTCTCAAGAATACTGCTTTGCTACACTAATGGCCAACACGGGCAACGCGCTACATCGTTATGCCTAACGTGGCATGACGGCGCGAGTCCAAGTACGATTATTCCGTTGTTGCTTGCACGTTCCACGACTGACGAATCGGATAAGAACAACAGGCGCATGCGCGAAAATCTCGCGATATCCTTCGATACGGGTCTCGATTCCCTATACTTGAATGCGAATCTAGGTCCGTCGAGGAACAAGGGAGGATCCTTGGATGCAGCTGGGTCCGTGGAGGGACGAGAGCAGATCCTTGGATACGGCTGGGTCCGTGGAGGGACAAGAGCAAATCCTTGGATACGGCTGGGTCCCTTGGGATATACAAAAAGGAGAGGAGGAGAGGAGGGGGATTAAGATACAAATCAGCCCAGCCAGGGCGGTGTGCAGCACTTCAACGCAACGACTCGAGGGGCCAGAGGTCAGGTCGGCAGGAGAGCGCCGACGGACCGGCACGAGGCTCCCAGTGGGAGAGGGCACTGGGGGCTCAGGCCCGGGCCGGGGCCCGGCACCCTCTCCGCCCAACCAGCACACCCCTTCACCGTTCCGAGCCGACCCCCGCCTCGGGCCGGTCGGTGCGCGGCGCGACGCCTATCTAATCGTCGCGGAAGGGTCGCACCGCCGCTGTTTTTGTTTGCAGTGGGTCGCAAACGGACGGCCGGCCCGCCGCCAAACAGTCGCCCGTGCCACCTCGGCACACACGCCGGGCCCCGACGCACGATGGCCCTGTTGACACGGCGCTGGCGGGCGTGTGTGCCGGGCCGACCATGCCCGGTGTTTGTGCCGAACTACCTGCCATCCGGCCAGCTCCGTAGGTGCTCAGGTTTGCGAACCAGCTTTGTTTTGTAGTCGCGCGCAGGCCAGTGCTCCGTGGCGCGCTGGGAAACGCGCTGGCTTTGGCAGGTGGCCAGCAAATCGGTGCAAAATAGTCAAACCTCACTACCGAAAGCGGTGGCGGCCATGGTCTTCTGGAACTGCTCATCAACCAGTCATCCAGATGCATGGCTATGCACGCTTTTTTCTCTTTATGCCCTTAAGCTAACGCGGCTCTTAACTGACTTTCAGGTCTATGAATTACGTATCCTGCTCACTCTATCGACACCATTCGCTGGCACAGTTTCGTGTGCGGGTTCTGATCTCAAATCGCCAGGCTTAAAGGAGCGAGTTCTGGCTGGAGTGTTGGCAGAGTCTCGGTCAAGCCAGGACTTCTAGCCTAAAACCTTTGCTTGGTCTGGCTAGAATATGCCTTAGTGCTCCATTTTTCGGGGCGTAGCCCGAATGAGTTAATGATGTCTTGCCTTGTGCCTTGTCTTTCTGGACGCGCCGACGGTTATATGACACCCTTTCTAATGGAGAACGCAAAATAAAACGCAACTAAATTAGCCTATGCAACATGCATTTACATATTACATTGAATTTATAATGTGTAATATATAAGCCCTATTTATATGCCCAGGGACCCTATTTTTTATTCCGAGTATAGAACGGTCTTCGAAATAAAAAATAGGGTCCCCGTAGTGACGAAGCGGGGGCTTTAGGTGAAAGGCTCCCTTTATCTCAATTTGCCTCCCTCCTGGGCGAAATCTTGGCTATACCACGAGATCGCCTTGGGTGTAAGCAGCTATATCCACTGAAGCGTTCCTGAAGACGGGCATCCCAAGCGGATTTCGTCGAAGATAGTTCGGGATCCAGGACTTTAAAGGGATTCCACCACCGGCCAATCGTTACTGAGTTAGGCATATGCCTAACAGCTGCGGCATCGGGCCTTCCCAATTCATTTGCTTCCGTTCCTTCTGCCAGGAACTGTCTTGTTGCGTTGTAACATTCTGCAAGATTTCAAGCTTAATGCAGATGTCAAAACAGGCACCCACGGCATGAGATGCCTGCATGATGGCAAAGCCTCAGTCCATTATGTTAGAATGACAATAAAGCAGAACGGTGACATTATTCAAGCGTTCGGAGATTTTGGCTGTTGACATTCTGCTGTTTAAGGCAAATGTTCGTCTTTTACCTTCGCTTTCTTCATTATATTTCCAGTGAATCGCCGGTGATGTTTTTTCTCTCCCTGGGCTTCTGTTTACTTTTCATCAGGTGGGATCTCAGCAGCGTACTGGGCGACGTTTTAAACCCTCGTCCCCCGTTCCTTCACGCCTCGACCTTGTCTCCCTGGCGAGCAGCCGGTCGCCATGTGTCCCCATTGTCGGGAGGCGCGCCCGCCAGGACAGTGCCTCTGACTACTACCACATGGAGTGGGGGTGTGCAAGCCCCCCCCCCCCCCCTGGTCAGGTCAAGAGTCGACATACAGCATCGCCGGATCTATGTGTATTTAGTGGATGCGAAACTGCGTAGGACACGAAATGAGTGGAACAGCTGCTCTTGGAGCCGGCATGTCTAACCGGGAGTCGTCGATGCCGTCTAGGGAACGGTATCGACGAGGCTTGCAGATGCTCGTGGTCAGTTGCCATCGTGAGAGCGCTACCCCCAGCGTGAAACACTCGGTATTCAGCAGGGCCTTGGCGACAGCGAGGACCTCGTCCTCGAACGGTGAGCGGCGACTCTCCGCGAGGAGGTGGAGCGGGAGTCGATCCCGCACAACTTCCAGCCCTCCACGCAGCTGGTCGGCCGGCATTCGGAGCGGGAGCAGTGCTTCGGGAGAATGACGTCGCCGAGGCTCGTCTTCGATCAGTCTGTGGGACGGCTGGTGGGCTTGTCAAGTCAGAGTCCATTGCCGTGTGACGGTCATGTACGTGCCTCTGCGCATACAGGAAGGTCTTCGTACATCGATAATACACTCCGGAAAACTTGGACACGTAGATAAGCCGTGAGAGTAAGGGTAAGCTAGTATGTCTTCCAAAAGTTGCAATTCTTTGGGTCTTGACATCTCCAAGCTCCCAACTATATCCTTTCATCGGGCGGACGGGGCTCATCACGAGTCCCCGCCACATGTAATGTTATCGCATGATAGCCAGTCGATTCGCCTCGTACGGCGTCGAGTCGGCCACGCGAATACTCCAGAGATTGTGCTTGAATCATTTAGCAGAACAGGCGTTTTCAGAGCGTTATCTAATTGATCCTGATCAACGTCCAAGTCCAAGGGGGAGGGGGCTAGATGGGGTCAAGGGGCTCTTTCAGTCAAGGCAAGATGGCTCCCCTCTGACTGTCACTTGAGGCCCGTATCTGGTTATAAAAACTTTAACGCCCCGGATCCTATTGTGGTGCATTGGGCCGTTTTGTTGACGCTTTTGAGCGGCCGGCGGTCGCCTTTCATCCTACCAATAGTATTCCAAACTGGTAAGCTGATATCGACCAATAAGTCCTTTGGCTACCAAAAGTACTCCAGGTTATCTCAAAACACCGAATCCGAATCTGATCTGGCCCAAACAAAATCGATTCCGGAATAGAATTTGTATTCCGCTGGATTCCAGCACATGCTTGCATGCGAGTACCACATAGCACGGCAGCACTTTCATTCTGGCAGCATTTAGTCCAAAGTGCAGGGCCGAAGATAATAAGCAAAAGTGTTGATATTTCCGATATTCAGAACCTGCTGGATTGCACAACCGCTCTTACGACTCAGTTTTCCGGGCATTTCCGTGCAGAAGGCGCCTCAGCTGACTCAGGCTCGGGACCGAGACGTCACGGCAGACCGCCGCGCTGATGTGGTGGACTTTGCGTGACGTCTCATCCCATTTCAGCACGGTATGCATAGGTAGCACTTGCCATGACTCCGTATTACTGAGCGAGCTTTAGTACCCGGACCTTCAGAATCGGATGCCCACTTTCGAGATCCCAGCACACGTGCGCCCATGGTTGTGGAGCTCCCGACCCATACAGGCCGT